CAACAAGCGTCAGTTTGTCTTAATTAATCATAATTAACTGGACCAAAACCCATTGTCTGTAGGAATCATGCAAAGGGTACAAATTTCATTACTAGATGCAAACGTCGATTGATTGTCTTGCGACTAAGAGGTTTTTCTAACCAATTTTGTAAAATCATAAAGGCATGCGTAGCTTCATATAATTATAGAATCATCCTTAATGGTCAAAAGGGGGAAAATTTTTTCCTTCTACGGGGTTACGCTAGGGGTGCCCCCTTTCACCATATTTATTCACTAGCAAGGGAACCCTTGCTTCGCAAGGGCTAATGACAGGACAAATTGCCTCGCTATGAAAAAACTTAGAATTAGAATTGTGTGTAAATGGAAAATTGCAAAATTAAATAAAATAATTGTTTTTTCAATTTTATTTTGCATGTCCTTATAAATAAAAGCAAATTTGTGCAAAACTGCAGCTCTTTTCAAAATTAATCCAGAAAGAAAATAATTATTTTCTAAGCATCAAGTGGGGTCATTCCTAGTTGCAATGTACCTGTAATCAAAGTGTGGACTTTAAGAGATGGTAGAAAATGCACTCATGAAACTCTTCAAATTAACGTACAAAGCTAAATGTGGAAAATGCACGCAAAGGTTTTTCAAATTAACTAGTAATTAAGCACATGCATTGCACGGGAGAAAATTTTCTTCATATTAATTACTTGAATTTTAGACATATCATAGTTAAGATAGAAATTGAAAATTAACAAAAGTAACAATACGATTGAAGATAAACTTAAATATTTATCATTCAATTATGACATCATGGGTTTTTTTTGAAATATTAGATCACTGACCCACATCTAGAAAAGAAAATAACTTCATTTTTGGATTAATTTTAAATTAGGGAAAATTATAGTTGGAGCCGGTTGTACATTTAAAATTAGGCTACAAGTTGGTCCATAAACCAACAAAACTCTGACAACCAACTCTATGTTTCAAATTATAAAATCCCTCGCCATGTCATTAGAGGCTTATGTGGCTATTGCTAACATGGGTCTCTTAATCCATATTGGACACAACAAAAAGCTTATATTGAAATTGCCCTTTAATGTTGGGTGATTGGAAAATAAAAAAAAAAAAAAAAGGTTTTTAGTTTCTCTCTCTCACACACACAATCATCTTTATCTGCTCAATGACTATGTGAATTGAAAATAAATAAAAATGGTTTTTGTTTCTATATTTGCGTTCTCTATATCAATTTCTCTCATTCTCTCTCCATATCTACCGTTTTCCCTCAATCTCTCTCGTTCTCTTTCTCGGTCGATCTCTCATTCTCCCTTAATTTCTATTGTTCTCCCTCAGTTTCTCTCCCGCTCCCTCTTTAGTTTTTTTATTTTCTTACATACTTATATGGTATTAATCAGATCGTATAAAAGAAGATGAGACCAACTTGGTATGGTTAAAAAAATATTACACCAATTTAATAAAAACTCACAAGAAGCTCTTAGCTATAAAATTTATACCAACTGAAGAACGATAGAAATTAAGGAATAAGGAGATATTAACCGAGAGGAAGAGTGAGGGAGAAGAATGAGAAAGATTGAGGGAGAGCAATAGAGAGAGAAAGAGAGGTTTTGATTTGGCTATACATCGAAGCTGAGAGATTGGGAGAGACAGAGGGACCGGGATATTGAGAGATGACTGTGAGAGTGAGAGAGAAGGGAAGGAGATCGAGAGACAAAGGGAGTGAGAGAGAAACTTAAAACCTATTTTCGATATCAGATTTTTTGTTGTGTCCAACATGGACTAAGAGTCCTATGTTGGCAACAACCACATAAGCCTCCAATGACATGGCAGGGGTTTTTATAATTTGAAATGTAGAACCGGTTGTTAGAGTTTTGTTGGTTTTTTATCCAACCTGTAACCTAATTTTAAATATACAACCGACTTTAACTATAATTTTCCCTTTAAATTATATATTTCATTTACATTACATAAAATATTTTTTATTTATCACACTTAATTGTTTTTCTATGGTATCATTTGACTCAAACCACTAACCCACCATCTAAAAAAAATTGTTTGATTTCTAGATTAACATTAAATTTTGTATTACATTTCCATCATTGATAAAATTATTTCTTATGTATAAAACTTTTTTTTGTTCAATATAATGAATGCACAATATTAGAGATGTACCCAATATTTTATTTTTCATAAATATATAACATTAGATATGTGCTCAAAATTTTCTCTATCTTCTTTTTTTAATTTTTGTGATTCTTTGTATTTTCTATTATTAAAAATTTTATTATTTGACTATGACATCATTTCATTTTTAAGTAGATTTTGAATTTGGCTTTCCATTTTCATCATTAATAAAAATACTTCTTACATTTCATAGTTATTTATTTTAATTTTTATTATTTAATTATGACATTATTTATTAATCCATTTGCCCCAAATGGTCGAATTGCCTACCCACCACTAGGAGGGAAGAAAATGGTTTTGTTTTCAAATTACTTTTCAAAATATTTATTTTTATATTATTAAAATTAATATTATGGATTTAATTACAAGAATTTAATGATGAAAAAATATATCTTAAATATAGGATTTAATTAGAGAGAATAGAAAGATATTTTTATTTATCATACTTGTTATTGTTCAATATGTATGTTAAAAATGTTCCCAATTTTTCTAATTTCTATTTTTTTCATTTTATCTATTTTTTTAATTTTATTATTTAATCATGGCAACATGGATTAACCCATTTAACAAAAAATGATTTAATTTCTTATCACCACCTAGATGAAAACAATATTTTTGTTAAGTAGATTTTAAAATTATAAGCTTTTATATTATTGAAATTATTAATTTATTAAGTATGGATTTAATTAGTAGAACTTAATGATGAAAAGAAACAAAAAATGACTTAAATATATGATTCAATGAACATGAATGCAAGTTAATAACTTGAATTTGGATTTAATGAGATGGAAATATAGAATTGAATGCATTGAATATCTTTAAATTACCTCTTTAACTCTTTTAATATCAAGAACCGATTAACCTATTTGCCCTCATTTTTTATCAATAAATTTAAATATAGAGGGATAAATTTTGTCCTTAAAAAATTTCAGAAATATTATTGAGGCTACTCGTGCTTTTTAATGTAGTATAGATATGTAATATAAACTTTTTTTTCAGAATAAATAATTGATTTACATAATAAGAAATCAAAGTGGGTACATGAGATGATGTACAAAGTAAGCAAGTAACAAAAAAAAAAAAAAACAGAAGTTACATAAGAAAATTCTATCACTAGACAAATCTTCCTTGTGGACACCTAAAGAGTTTAATCTCCTAGGAATCCAGTTAAGTTTTACCAGCAAGGAATCTATAATATCTCTTGCGTCAGCCAGGTAGTGAGCTGCCATCCTCTCCTCTGGCCACTTTATAGTATTAACAGAATCACCGTCAGTGGCTAGGAAAGACAGTCCCAACTCTTTTGCAGTTAGGCCCTTTAAGTGCAGCCAGAATGTCAGCCTTTGTAGAATCAACACTTCCAATCATTCCACTGAAACCCATCATAAACTTCCATCCCTCTTCCTGAATGCACCACCAATACCCATTGTTCCAGATTACTTGGGGCACTTCCATCAAAATTTGACATCGCATCCTCTTCACTAGTAGGAAAGATTCTGGGACTGCTTAGAAATCTGGGGGAGCAGTTAAGGATCTCCACCACATTACTTTGAAGGTCATTTAAGGAGACTCCTTTGAATTCCAAATAACTAACCGACTACATATTACACAAGTAGGTCATATGAGGGATCAAATATTTAAAGGATTTAACTTTGTTTTGAAAGATACGATTGTTTCCTTGTTCCCACACAGACTGTGAACAATGGAGTCATTACCAGAATTTAAATGGGGAAGAGGGTCCAAATTTCATCAAGTATATTTGGCTTTTATACATCAAATCATACATATATTGTCTTTCCTTATTTCTAAATATATATAAGTAAAAATTAGTTGGTTCCTATATGATTTGGTGTACTCAATTACCTATATCCTATAATGTGCCCCCCTCTCTCTTAGAAAACCTCTCCTTTAATCTCATTTTTCTACCCTTCTATAATGTCTCCCTCAATCTCTGTCTTTCTAATAGAGTTCTAATCTAGAATTTCCTCTATCCCCACATCACATCCCTCCTACAAGCTTTCCTTTTCTATTTCATCTTCCTAATACTAATTAGGACAGTTACCTCCCTCCCATGTCTCTTCTTTTTCAGTCCTCACCCTTCAATCATCCCCCTTTCTATTAGAGAGTTGGAAAAAACCAGCTTTTGGGTTTTTCACATAATCTACTTCAAGAAAAATACAAATAAATAAAATAATTTAACTTTTATAATTGGATTCAGTGTTTACAGTTATTCAGTTCAGTTTTTGCAGAACAATGGTAAAGGTGGTTGGATTTCAATTGTACCACGTGTAATGTGGGCAGAGTTTTAACTCCAATAAATGTGACAACTAACAAATTGAGTGAAAGAAGAACTACAATTCTTCAAGTTTTTATTTCATATATGGATGTTGAGTAAGGTAGATACACAAAATGCTTGTGAGTTCATCTTAGGCTATGAGTTCTAGAGCCACCTTTGAATTTTTCACTTCATTAAGAAAAATTAAAATTACAAGAAAATACAAATAAATTAAATAATTAACTTTTATATAAATTTGCTGCTATTACAATTATAAATAGTGATTGTATACATTCATAATAACTCTGTTTAATTATTTAATACTAGAGTCACAACAAATCACGCCCTACCAACTTTAACAGAACGAGTGATTACCCTCCCCACTCAAAGAAAAAATAACAAATTAATGAATATATGTAATAACAAATAAGAGATACTATTAAGTATGTGTATATGAAACAAAAGTGATAAAAAATAGGTATAAAAATAAAGAAAGGTCAAGAGGCATTGAAACAAAAAGACAATCATTTTAGTAGTTTGTCTCTCTTCTTTTTGTCTTCTGTTACTCTCTCTTCTATTCGTCTTCCGCCGTATCGAAGGGGGTTACCCCCTCCCCCCTTCTCTCTGTTTCCATACAGGTTTTACTCTCGAGATCTCTCGAGGTTTACTTTCGAGGTATTCTTTTTCATTCAGTTCTTTGTTTGTTTTTCTCTGTTTTTCTTTTTCTTTTTCTTTTTCTTTTTCTCTTCGGTTCTCTGTTTTTTTTTTTCTCTATTTTTCTTTCGGTCTGTTTTTCAATTCTTCTATGCTTCTCCATTTTTTTTCCAATCTGTTTTTTCTCTGTTTTCCCTTTTCTTTTCAGTTCTTCTGTGCTCCATCCGTTCTTCTGTGCCTTTTCGGTTTGTTTTTCTTTTTCTCTGTTTCCCTTTTTCTTTTTCTGTGCTCCATTTGTTTTTTCTTCTGTGTTTTTTCTTTTCTTTTTCTCTGTTTTTCTTTTTCTATGCTCCATCTGCTCTATTGCTTTCCCTTTTTTGTTCTCCTTTTCTCTGTTTTTTAGTTTTGTTTTTTTTTTTCATTTTGTGTTCTTTCGTTCTCCTTATCTCCCTTTTCTCCTTTTTATGTTCTTTCGTTTCCCTTCTGTTCATTTGTTCTTTTGTTTCTCCTTGTTTACTCTGTTTCTCCTCTCTTCTGTGTATTTTCTTTGTTTGCTTTTTTTGCGGGCATTTTGATATGGAGTTCCTGCTCTAGTCTCCTTTCTGCAAAAATCACCCGTGCATTTGCCCCTTGTTTTGCAGTCTCCAGCGCTTTAGAAGGCAGTTTCAATTCTCCAGCATTTTAGATGGCTGTGATAGTGCTCCGACGTCCAAGATGATAGTTTCTGTTCTTTGGCAGTTCTTCGATGTATTGGATGGCAGTTACAGATGATACCGTCTTTTGTGGTTTTTTTTTTTGGAGTGGTTGAAAGTTACAATTCATGGCTTGTGGCTATGTAACCTCCTCTATCAGTTGAGAAAATCTATGATACGGAAAAGATATGATATGGAAAGAGTTTTGACCAATCAAAGCCCACCCATGAATTTTGATAAATAACACCTGATTCGTTACTACATTTATGGTTCGAGTTTATTGGTCAGTTGTTTTTTTGATATCATATCTTTTCCATATCATAGTCAAACCCCTATCAGTTTTCATTTTAGTTGGTAACTCCTCTTGTTTGTTTGCTCGCCAGTTATGGTGGTTTGAAGATGTACTTATCCACTTCTGTTGGTGATGTTAAGTCACCTTGCTTTGGTTGTAGAAGTTCTTCCAATTCTCCTAAATCCATCTCTTTGTCTTGTTCTTCTTGAGAATGTATCTTTGATCTTTACTTGGCCTTATTGGCATCTCTTTGTACCAATTTCTTGAATGAATGAAACATGATTGAAACCTTAAAAAAAAAAGACTTCAGTTCAGAGATTGTAAGATCAATGCTTGAAAATAAAGAATATCTCAACCAGGCAATAAACAAAACAAAGAATCTCTAGAGAGAAGATTTACATCAATCAAAAGTCAATAGGAGATGACGAACCCACAAATCTACAACTACAAGTGATAAACTAAATACCGCAAACATCTCATTTGGAATCCCTACTAATGCGGCACGGTTCAGGCACTCCTAGCTGGCTGCTGACTGGCTCCTTGCTGGCAATGGACAGCACCTGAGAAGACAAAGAAGAAGGATTCCCGGGGATTCGCCCGATGGGAATACTCCGATGCTTAAGTTACTACTGTGTATGGGGAGCAAAGAGAGAAAATGAAAGCTAAGAGTGGAGATCGCGCTTTATCACTATATTCGAGAGGTTTTAGGTCTCAAGAGAGAGTTTCTCCTCTGCCCTGGGGGCTTTTATAGGAGCGTTCTTGCGAGATCGAGCATAACAGCCACTGGGATCCTGCCACAGCCGTTACCTGCCAGGTCTGCGCAGGTGATCGTTACAGTGTACTATCCGCTTGGTTGAGTGACACGTCCCAAAGGGGCAGGCACGCCTCCATCTGTCGAGAGACGTGGGTACAGACT